AATCTCTTGATCGAATCGATCGTGAAAATGATAAATATCAATTTTCAGTAAGTGTTGATATTTTGTCTTTTTCATTTTGTTTTTTTTGGCTTATACGCATAAAACTAACAATGAGTAACAAAGATAACGATAAAATGTGTATAATTATGTAGGAGTATTTAAAAAAAAGGACGAATGATGACAAAGGTGTTCTGTTCTTTTTCATTATTTTATCAACTTATACTCAATGATGAATTAAACATATACATATATATATATATATATATAAGGGCTTTTATAATAATATGCTATGTGCTTTTTTTCCTCAATCTTCAATCAATATCATTACGTCATTGTTAAAAGCATCATGTATCTTAGTAGGTTTTTTGTCATAATGAATGAATACTAACCAGATAGATTGCTATTAGAATAGACAAAAGAAAAAAAACGATACATAAACAATAACAAAAAAAAATCGCCATAGGTCTATTAGAACTACTAAAGATATTTTTACAAACGTGTATAATAACGATAAGAGGTTAAAAAAAGTATTTAAGGTAAACAATAACAATGCAATCGATAAAAAAACCTTTTCATATACCGCACTCATATCCATTCAAATCAGATTATGCAAAATCGAGTACTATTATTTCATTGACTCCACTTGTTTCATCCTGTTCGTCATCATTATCAAATTATGTTGGTGGTTTACGACCTTATTATCAACAAAATAAATATCCCTTGACATCGACTGCATCATCTTTGTTATTGTCTCACATACCATCTATCAATATTCATAAGATAAATGATGAGGGCCTTGAACTATCATCATCATCATTCGCGAATAAAAGTTTAGAAAAGAATTCATTCAAAAATCAACATAGTTCTTTACCATTGGATGAGGTCTGAATAAATTGTATACTTCGAATACTCAAATATTATCCTATATTTTCAGTCGAAATTATCATCTCAATCAAAATCCTCTATAAAATCAACAGTAAATAGATCAAAATCTTCATCTAAAAATGCTCCTACAACAATTACTGATGCAACGATTGTATCAACATCAAATGACGATAGTTTAGTGATCAAAGACAAACATCGATTGTCTGACGATGTAAATTCTATTTTAAAATTCATTTTATTGTTATTTTTTTCTGATTATTTACTATTAATCTATTAGGTTGAACGCATTGTTCAAGAACATTTAAAATATGTTAGTGAAGATGTATCACATGGTTGGGATTTAATACATCAAGACGGTGAAATGAAAGTCTATCGACGTGAAGTTGAAGAAAATGGAATTGTTGTTGATCCACTTAAATGTTTTCATACGATAAAAGTAAGAAGATATAAATCATTTAAGATACAATAGGATATAATCATCTTTCATTTGCCTTTAATGATTTTTCTGAATATATTCTTTTAGCATAGACATATATAAAAATATTAGCTCTTTTAGTTGAAAAATCTATGGTTAGATATTCAGGAAGATCAGAGTCCAAAAACTTTCTTCTTAAAAATCGCTTTTCTAGATATTTTGAAGAAGAATTTGTACTGTTTTGAATTGGTTTTGAACTTTTCATTCAGTTATAAGAGCATTTTTGATATTTCATCATGTCGTTAATGAAAAGAAAATCGATTTTTTTGAAAAATTTAATCATACTCAGAAAAAACTTTGAATCGATATTTTGTACTCTCGGGACTTATCTACAGAATGTACTATTTAGTTTTCAAGGATACTGCTTCAATTCAGAGTTTTTTTTTTTAAATTAAAATCTATGAAGTGAAAGTCGATCTTGTTTTTTGTGCCATATCGCTAACACTAGGTTTTCGCTGATAACTCCTTTAAACGAAAGTCTTTAGCGCTGATTTTTTCAGAGTATCTAGAGTAACTTAACATATAAAAATTAGCTCTAGGAAAGTTTATTATCTCGAGATACATATGTTTTAGTTTTGCGAAGTCACATTGCTAACGAATGATTTGATCCATATATCAATTTCTTTTTTGTTTGCTTAGGGTGTTACCGGTCATGAACTTTGTCAATATTTTTGGGAATTTCAATATCGAATGGACTGGGAAAGTAAGTTAGTCATATAAATTTTATTTTATTTGTAATTTGTATTTATGTTTTTCTTTTTTAAGCAACACTTGATTCAACAAAAATAATTGAAGTATTAGATCCAGATACAATGGTATTTTTTCAAGTACATAAACGTGTATGGCCAGCTGCACAACGTGATTCATGTTTTTGGTCTCATATTCGATGTATATCGAATTCAGAGGAAGATCAACCAACATGGCTTGTAGTTAATTATACTACATCACATCCACTTGCACCTGTAAAAAGAAAATTTCTATTTTTTGTATTTTAATAAAATTTTCTTTATAGATTAAATCACCTCAAGTTCGTCTTGTTGCTAATGTTGCTTTAATATGTGAAACAATCATATGTGAACCACCATTAAATCCACAAGATATTAAACGTGAAAATATCCAATGCAAACTTACTTATGTTGCTTTTGGTATGAAAAAAATAGCAAATAATTTTTAAGATACTGAAATTTGAAATAGAAAATTATAACTTATATAATAGAACAAATCAAGTTCTCAGAACTTTTATTCTGAATAAGAATATAACATATTAAAATTTCAGAAATTGTTTTCGCCGAACTACTATCGTACTCAAATAATAGAACGCCCCAAGGCTTTTCCTTCCTGAATTCTATTGACAGAGAAACACCCTACGGCAACACAAACTTTGCCTTAAACTATGATTTACGGAGACAAAAAAAAGCTATTAGTTAGAGCAATTTCTGCAGTATTAAAATGTGAAACACAATGTAGCTGTTATTGTTAATCATAGGAAGATTGTTTTATTGTATCTATTTTGGAACACATCTCTTCACTCATCCTTTCACTTAATCATCGAGAAATGTAATAAGGAAGTAGTCAATATAATACAACGAGATGTTATTTATATACGATATTTGATCATATATCAGCAACGTCCATCACAGACTATGATATGTCGTTACTAATGAAGAAACACTTCTAAATGTCAAGTTGCATTTGAGTTGAGACTATGTGCATCATGTAGATTCTAATGAGCTATGAATACCCTGAAATGATTACTGGCTAATAGCTTATTATTGCCGTGATACTGTATTTTTTAGCAGAATGTTGTTGTCTTCCATCAGAAACATAAGGAAAACTTAGTTTCGAATTTCGACTTGAAACTGTGCATAGAGATAGACCTTGATAAGAATGATTTATTGTAAAAGTTTCAGATCTTTTGATTGCTTCTATCCTGAGACACAATCATGGTAAAAGCATGTCTTTCATGTCACTCATAAACCACGACAAAATTCCATATTCTTACTACATAATATGTGCAATCGAAAAATCTGAAACTTCCATAATGAAATATTCTCGTTAAGGTCGATCTCTGTGCAAAGTTTCAAATCGGAATTCAAAATTCAGTTTTTTTGAGAGGGATTATGGCATTCTGATAAAAAAATATAATATCCCAACAGTAATAAGCTGTTAGCCCGAATTCTTTTCAGGATATTCACAACTCATTAGAACCTACATCATGTACATAGTCTCAACTCAAATGCGATTTGACATTTAGAAACGTTTCCTCGTAAGATGCCTGCAATGATCTGTCGATATCTTCTGTCATAATTTGTGTGGAAATACAAATATCTACTCTATATACTTCAACATTTCTTTTAGATCGTATTTCACAAAACTAATTAGTATTATTTTAGTGCGTGGTGAATCCATTGAAAAGAGTCTGCAGACTTTTTATTGTTTGTTCTAACATCATTATTAATACTTTTTGTTTTTTATTGAAGATGAATTTAAAATTATTATGTTGATTTTCATAATAATATCAAAAGTTAACTCTTACAGAACGGAATTATTTTTTCGAAAAATAATTTCAAAGTAAAATAGAAAAAAGGAACCAACAACATTAAGTGTATACCAATAGAATGAGCATACTTTATCATATAAACGACTATTTCCGATCATCAATGTATAATATATCTCGTTGTTCGGAAATAGTCAATGATCCTTACAGTGTTCACCCGTCTACTTGTTTTCTTTTCCCATAATAACAAGAGTAATCATGACTACTTTTTTTTTTGTAAACAGTCAACAGTTTATTCTGTTTGCACAGAGAAAAATTATTCTTATTTCAACCCACTCCTATTTGAATTTGCATTCTTCTAACGCTGAACTAGATTTTTCATTAATATATTCTTATTTTAGTCAATCCTGGTGGATGGGTTCCCAGTGCAGCATTAAGAGGGTAAGTTTATATATTATTATTATTATCATTCAAATCGTGTTTTTTCATAACTTTAGTGTGGCGAAACGTGAATATCCTCGTTTTCTTAAGCGTTTTACCTCTTATGTAATTGAACAGACACGCAATAAACCCATCCTATTTTGATTGCAATGCATTTTTTTTTGTTCTTTTGACTTGATTGACATTCTCGCTCTTCTTCTTTTATTGGCATATCTATATTGATTTTGTTATTGATGTTGTTATTTCCACTTTCTTATCTTTTCTCGACATCGCTTATTTGTCTGTATAGATACCATGTAATGATATGAATGTTTTTTTTTTCTTTTTGTATATGAAAAACAATATCCAATATGACACAGAAAGAAATTCGTGCTCTTCATGCATGATAGATGATGACTTTGTTGTTATCATTTTGATAATGAGCATATTAATATATATATTTAGAAAAATAAAATAAAACCCATGAGCCAACATCAACGTCTACTCAAACGATTACTAATCGCCATGAATATTTTTCTAAATCATCATGATGTCATATTTCTATCCAATATTGTAAAACCATCATATAAAGAAAGCCGTACATCCTTAATGGTTTATTGATGATTTTAATATTGTTTATCGATTACGAGAAGATACTTATTCATTTGTAATACTACTCGTCGAACGTAAAAAAATAACATTGGTTGTCTTTGTACTTTGAAAATGATCAAGGTTTTATTTATTTAAGAATTTTATAAAATTTCTATAGTTAATTTTGTAGAAATCAAATACTCGACAATATGATCAAAAACATCAATTAATATATGAACTTGAAATTCTTGTGCGTTTATATTTCAGCAATATATACATATATATTGCTCATGTATGTTTGTTTATTTGCTTGTCTTTTTTCTATAATTTTAATCGCACTTATTTTATACTTAAATATGTATCTAATGATACATTAGCTTCATCAAATTTAAAATTTTATCAACATTTAAATAATACTTGAATAGTAGTATTTGTTTAATAAATATTGAATACAACTCATTATTTTTTTATCATTTAAAAAAAATAATACATAGAGATTAAAAATTAGAAAATATTCTTTTTAAAGAATTTTATATTATAAAATAAGAAGATTTTGATCTTACATTTCATTGTCGTAGTTCAAAGTGAATACAATATATATGGGTAAAATGGATTAAATGGCATATGACATTTTCGAAAATGAACATTTATCATCAATTGTATCATAAGAAGAATCAAACGATTGATAAAGTTTAGGTATGATAACACGAATTATTTATTTTTACGATGCTATTTTATGATACAAAGAGTGCTATGAACTATAGTAGAAAATCTATCCTTACCGTTTTCCTGAAGATTTAAAAAAAAACAGTACGAAAGGTAATGCCATTAAGTATGTTTCAGTCTGATGACTTCGATTTTTATCAATGATAACAAGTCAATATCAGTGATTTGTCTGTGTATTGGAGGTAGATGGGTTTTTAACTACTGCAACGAATGAACCGTTTTTTTCCTGGTATTAGATTTCGCGCTCACGAAGAGTGACGAATACAGTTAAAGATGTACGTGTCTTCTTCTCTCTCTATTTATTCTGTAAGAAAGCAAACGTTTATATACGCACATGAAAAATGAAGACAAAATAGAAAAGAATACTCCGCCTTTCAGCTACTGTGCGGTGTAGGGTGCTGTCCAAGGACAGTTTTGAAAGTCCAATAATTTTCCTACATCTATTACTAAATGTAGCTCTGGTCAGAAGGCTGACCTGACTCAAAGTTCTCCCCACTTAATCACTGAAGCTCTCCGTACATACTGACTGACCACATACTAGCCGCAAGAGCTTATAGTACATGTCTACTACGTAGTCAGTTTGTCATCGGAGAGTGATCCGAGACAAAGTTGCCGTTAGTGACTTGTTCAAGGTCGTTCTATGACTGATGGAACCGAGGTTCAAGCATAGTATCTTGTGGTTATGTGTCAAACATCTTAACCACCACATGAAAAACATTTGAAAATTGTCGAAACGTGAAATCCTCCATATTTATATGATAAAACATTCTATTTTTTCTGTTCATTTGAAGTTCAAGCTTGTCCATTTAGCTTCAATGTAGTTTTCGAAATTAAAATTCGATATTACAGTTGAAGTCAGTATCAAAAACTGAGTAGAACGATATGTTTCAGAGAACAGTATTTTTTGTTCAAAGGACATCTGCATTTCTCTCATGAGAGAACATTCCAAACTGATACCATTGGTTCGAGTTTATATTTTCTCTATAAGTAGAACTCTGTGAAATTAGAAGAAGCCTGAAAGGATTTGTCTCACCAATGTTATGACCGTTTTACTGAAATTTCAACCTCTAGCGAAGTATTAACAGTAAAAATCAAATAAGGGAATTTCGGAATGAAACTTTGCCAACAAATAGGTAATATGATCGCTAAAATGTTCTGAGAATTTCAGCTAAAACAGATACTTCTTTCTTAGATATCGAATATTCAAAACACGATCGTATTTTACAAAAAGGATAACAGAATCGATTTTTCTTCAACATTTCATATCTGAAGAAGAATGCAGACGTCCTTTGAATAAAAAATACCGTTCTCTGAAACATATCATTCCACTCAGTTTTTGATACTGACTTCAACTGTAGTACCCAATTTTAATTTCAAGTACAATATGGAATGTAAATGGACACGTTTGAGCTTTAAATGAACAAAAGAAAATAGAATGTTTTATCATATAAATGTGAAGAATTCCACGTTTGGACAATTTTCAAATGTTTTTCATGGAGTGAGATTAGTTTTTGATGAAGAGAAAAAATGACAGAATTATGAACGACTAATCGCTCAGTTGAAGTTATCATTACATTCTCATCCATCGTTTTTCTAATTAGGGAAAAAGAATTTCTGTATTTTGTAAATTGAAGAAAGACAACTCTAAGCAGAATATTCAATATCAAAAATCAAGGACAGAGTAACCGGAGAATGGAGGAGGGTTCCTTGCTGCTTTGGATAGTTTTGACTGCAGGTTTCTCTGAATTCAGGAGAATTCGGTTGTAACTTTCTCCAGATTTGGGAGAATTTCATTCTAATACTCTGCCAATTTAGAAGAATTTAACTGTAATTTTCTTCGAATTTGGAGAAAAGTTGTTTCGCATTTTCTCTGATCTTAGGCGAAAATTCGTGATGAGTTATCTTCGTTTTTAAGGAAATTTGAAGTATTTTGTTGTCTGTTGTAGAGATTCCGGTTATACATTTTCCTCATTGTAGGTAAACGGTCAGAGTTCTTTATTCTTCAAGTTGAAGGAGCTTGCAAATCTTCATCAATTTTGGAAGGTTTGAAGTCTATCTTTCTTCGATTTCGTGAACACTTAGTTTGATGGGATTATTTTATCAATAAAATAACAGTAGACATTACCAAATTTGTTTACTTTTTACGATAAATCGAGAAGCTTTTCTAGCAGTAGAATTCACAACTGTTTATTTAACTTTCTCAAATAACTACACGAACTTTATCGTCTTTGCTGATAATCAGTGAACTGAAAAATATTTAGAAATATATTCTCATATAGGCAGAATTGACCTCATGATTTATGCAATCCCTGAAGCCTTCAATGTAATTATAATCTCTGTTACTATTGGTGGACGAATGAATTTGTCTTTATCTCGAACCTATATTAGGAGCTAAAGCGCTTCTAACAAATTCCGATCGTCATCGCATAAAATAACAATTTTTGCGCGTGTGGTCGCTTTCGACGTCAAAAAAGATTCAAAAACTCTTATGAAATAAATGTGAAAACATTGCTGCTAGAAAGAGTTCTAACGCAAGATATCACTTTTTAAATTTCACACTAGCGTTTAATAAACAGAAAATTGTTTTAAATTCTGTATGAATTGGAGAACTTCCCCAAAGTTTGACTTTCATATAAAAGTCGGTCAAAATCGATGATACCTTTGTGCATTTTTAATTGCAAAAAAAAATTTTACGTTATATCTACCATATTGCCACAGCCTTCGAACGCTCTTGTGTTAAGTTATACCTTTCTCCCATTTTCGTAAATACCTCCCTACTCAGAGGCAGACTTGGAACCGGTTGAGAAATGGTAAACCGATCCGGTCGGAAACCGGCCGGTTGGAATCACATGTCCAACCGGTGAAAACCGGTTAACAAACGGTGGAAAAATGTCGAATTTTTTTTGAAAACTGATTTTTAGAAAAAATGGCTCCAAATATGAAATAGTTTAGGGTGCATGTAAAAGACACTCATCATAATCAATCTTTTTAAAGAGAACCTCAGAAAAAATGATTAATATAACATATGTTTTGAGCACTTTTTTACGCATTCTGACACAAAACATGTAACACCTTAGTTTTTATGATCAAAAACAGGGTTAACAAAGAAGATTTTTGAAAACTTTCAACCGGTGAAATTCCGGTTTCTACCAGTCCGATTGACTTCTTCAACCGGTTCGGCCGAACCAGTTCTAATGCTGCCCTGAGGTCTTTACGCCGCTACTGTGAAAGATATTTATCGAGAAAAAGAATGTTTGTTTATTTCCATCTTTAAATATATAAAGGGTGTCCCATAATAATTGATGATAAATTGTTAATGATATTTTTCATACTTTTCTTGACTGCAAGAGCTGAAATTTGTGTCATATATATATCTAATCAAGATATTTTATTTCTGATAGTTTCAGTCCTCTATGTCAAGAAAAAAGTATGAAAAATATCATTAACAATTTATCATCAATTATTATGGGACACCCTTATGTGTCTTCGGTATATAAACAAATCAATCATATCAATTTCTTGTCATCGAAAAAAACAATCGAAGTCACCGAACCGAAGCATACTCAAACGACATGGCATTTCAAGCTGTATGTTTTTTTTCTTTAGAAATTTCTGAGATGACAGTTTGTGCACATCATCACGCAGATTCTTTAAATATATTAAAACAATTAACGTATTCTATTCTTTGATTATACTTTACGAAATAATCATTCATTGTGCATTTACTTAAAAGCCATTCCATTTAAGCCATGACCTGCGGTGCTCAATCGATTTTTTCAAATTTTTATTCCATTTACATATTTGAAAGGTACATCAATTAATGAGCTTTTTGCCACCAACCACACCTCGATAGTTTAAAGTATCATTGAGATATTCAATTTTTAATCTGAGATCTTTTTTCTTCAACTGCCGATGTTGATCTCATTAGTGTCAACTGCGAAGCATGCCATTTCTGATTGAAGTTATATAAAATCATGAAAATCTCAGGATAGATACATATTGAATTGTGCTACAAAATAAAACTACCCTTAACTCTAGATGTCGTTCTATGATCAAGCTGCAGGTGTCGCTAGTAGTAAAAGTTTAGCACTCAATATCTCTTGCATAACCAACTCTTTAAGGCTGAAAATTTCATAATAGATACTAGGACTGTGGAGCTATATAATGATGAAAGGAAAAGCTTGGATAATCAAGCAAAACTTGAGATATCGAAGTTTTACGAAAATTTACTACATTGTCAGCTAGTTGTTGCACATTTTTGCCATATTTTTTTAACAAAAACTCAAAATAAACGTCATATTTGCAATCACCATCAAAAACTGAGTCTAATCATATATATTTTGTAAAAAAAATTTTCTTTATCAAAAAGTTATCCCTACTCTCCCTCAACTACTTTCTATAAAATTTTTGCCTGTGGTTCCCTTAGGTAAATTTTTGATTAAAAAAAAATTTTTTACGAAATACATATGATTAGTCTCAGTTTTTGATGAAAAAATACGGCAAAAATGTGCAAAAAACCATCTGAAAATGCAGTAAATTTTTGTAAATCTTCGATATTTTGTGTTGTACTTGATTACCCGAACTTTTCCTTTCACCATTATATATCTCCACAGTCCTAGTATCTACTATAAAATTTTCAGCCTAAAGGAGCCGATTATGCAAAAGATATTGATTGATGAAATTCAACTACTAACG